TTTCAAAGACCAGTCATTGTGCAGAGTGCCAAGTTGTCTGACTGCCCGGGCAGCATTTATTCTTTTATACCATTTTTACAAGCAAGGAAGAGTAACATAGATACAGCATTTGGATTGGAGAATAGATGCCACGTGGGTGAAACCTCCCAACCTATCCTTAAGAATAGTGGTGATATTAATAAAATGAGATCATCTGTAAGTCCAGAAAGTCCAGGACTTTCCAACCCAAGATAGAGAATGAGATCATGCAGACAACAAAGAGGCCCATATAGATTAAACGCTGCAGTTTGCTGCTAGCGCCATGTACAGGACCTCAATAGCTACTACAAGAAGGGGCAATGTCCACATCAGAGTAGCCAAGGTTGTGTCTGTTCCAGCAGAAAAAAAAGTCTAAAATACACTGATCCAGGTTCTCTTTATTGTAGATAAAATTGCAATCATTCCCATATTGATGTTTAAAATAGAAAATTACAATGAATTCTGACCAGCTTTTCTGTCATTATTTTTGCTTCTGTATCTCAAAGAATAAATACATTCCTGGTGGCTATATGTTCCTATGAAGCCACCAGGAAGAGTAAAAATGAAAGTGGTAGGGACTTTCAGTGAAGTTGTGGCATGAGTATATTTTATATCTTTCTTTTCTTTTACTCTTTACATATATCTGATTGACTATAGATTAATGATCTTAGTATATTGATTAATATAAAGATGAGATAATTAATTGTTATTTCCCTCTCTTTCTCCTACCCTCCTTATATTAAATACCGTGAAACACACACACACACACACACACACACACACACGTATATGAAATTTAAATTTTTATTATATATTTAAGATAATATTAACTGAAATATAGCAATTAATTTAAAGAAGTAATTGGGGTTATAATATTGTTATATACTTAAACATATTTGAATGATTTTTTGATCTGATTGATGATTTATTGAATTCATTAAGACTAGATACAATGCTAATAGAATGTGAGGTGAACAATTAGAGTAATAACGAGTAAAGTGGGCTGGAAAGTTGAAAATATAGGTAAGTAACTATTAAGAATCTCCTCGCCTAATGGTGCTAAGAAATTAGACCAAGCAGATAAACAGTAATATAAAAGCTTAGAGAATTGAGAAAATCAAATTGTAAAACACAGATAAAGTTGATGGTCGTAGGCAATATAGCTAGGATAGTGGAGAAACAACAAAGAATTATAAAAGATATGACCAGCACATCTACCACCATTACTAAAGTAGAAAGAAAGAAAACTGACACCAGCAATAACACCATCCACCCCCACAGCAACATCGACCCAAAAAGCGATTGAAGGGATGTTGGGATATTAACTATCCAAAGCATGATGTTGACACTGCAGGAATCGAAGTCCAAAAACCATACAGAAAGCAAAGTAGAAAGAGAAATAATGAAAGAAGAATTAAAAAATGAGTTGGGGAAATGAAAAGTGAAGTCAAAAATTTGGATGGAAAGATAGGCCAGATCCAAGAATTGATTAAAATAAATGAACAGAAGATTAAAGTGATTGAAAAATAAGCTAATCAAATGGAAAAGAAGTTGGAAGGCACGGAACAAACAATTAAGGAACAGAATAAAGAGACCAATGAGACCCTGATTCATCTTGAGATGGACAAGGCCTCCTATTATCTTAGATTCCAGAATGTGGAGGAAGAGAGGGCAGAGAACTTACCGTTGGTGATGGCGGAGAGGTTGGTGGAACTTTTGAACAGAGATAGCGATGAGATGGTGAATGAGCTGGACAACGTATACAGAGTGTACACAAGTTACACAAGACAGCATAGACTCCCCAGAGAAGTGCATATTAGATTTGCAAGGAGGCGAGTGAAGGATATAATTTATAGAGTTACGAGAGATGAAGGAATAAAATACAAAGATAGAGAAGTGATTGTTCTAAAACAGGTGCCGAGGACAATTCGCGAACAAAGGAAAGACTATCGATTTCTCATGAATTACCTAAACAACAACAAAAAAATCTTTTAGATGGATTAGCCCAGAGGGTATACTAGCAATATGGAAGGAAAAAAGGGTGAGAATAGATAACCTGTCATGCCCCTGGTGGAGACTGATTCTGAGGAAGAGGAGGAACAGCCAACAGGGAATGGGAGTGTGGCTCCAGAGGTGGTGGAGGAGGCTGGGGAAGAGCAGAGGCCAGCTGAGCCTCTGCCCTTCCCCAGAGGAGGATCCAGGCCCATCCCCTATCCATCCTAGGTTATGCCGGGAGGAGAGTGTTGTAGATCGAGGAAATGAGAGGCTTAGACCAGAGCATAAGTGGAACAGGCTTTATTCAGGAGAATAAAGGGTCGTCGCGTCTGCTTACTAACAGGCAGACCTGGCTAGCGAACGACGACTGGCTCAGCCCGACAGCCGACTTTTATAGCCGACTGTCAAACGGAGCCAGCCAATGGGAGCTGCTTGTGCTCCTGCTAAAAGAACGGACCTGGTTGGAAACCCCAACCGGTCCCCAAGACATAACACCCCTTCCCCCTAGATGGGAACACATATAGTCCTTGAGATACGCCGGTGGTCTGTGTTGGCGACCGGAGCGACATAACTCGGGAGAGTCACTGGGTGATGACAAGTTCGTGGAGTCCTGGTCAGAGTACATAAGGGGGCGAGCTCGGCTCAGTGCAGGATTTGGAGCCCGGGGAAAGTCTCTGCCTTCGGGCTGGGTTGGAGAATAGTCTTTGCCCGAATGGCGGATGCCTTCGCTGGAGAGAAATGGTGGTGTCTCCGGCTGGCAGTCCTGGTCTACTGCCTGCTCCCTCTGCTCCGTTGGAGATGGCTGGTCTTCCTGGGAATTCTCAACTGGACCATGGTGCTGAACCTGAGGGCTGTCCGTTGGAGACGGATCTGGGGTGGTCAGGCTGCTCCGTCATCTCCGCAGCTGGTCCAGGTGCCTCTGCCATACACGACCGTCTTCTAGCTGGACCCGATAAGATCTCGGGCTTGTGACAGCCACGACCTTCCCCGGCACCCACAGTGGATCCCCCGCGCAGTTCCTGGCAAACACTAGGTCCTGTAATGCGAAATCCCTGGCCAGACTGTCCGACCCCAAAGGGGTGCCCGGGCAGTAGTGGGGGTGTAGCCTGTCCAAAGTAATCCTCAGGCGTCTCCCCATTAGCAGTTCGGCTGGGGATTTGTTCGTAACTGTGCATGGTGTGGTATGCTGGCTCAGGAGGAAACGAGACAGTTTAGAGTGCCAGTCCTCTTGGTCGAAATGGGCCAGAGCCTCCTTGGCCGATCTGACAGCCCTCTCTGCCAGCCCGTTTCTAGAAGGGTGAAAGGGGGCTGTGAGGACGTGTCTGATGCCCAGATTGGTGACATACCTGCTGAATTCACTTGAAATGAACTGGGGGCCATTGTCGGAGACCAGGGTGTCAGGAAGCCCATGAGTCACAAAGAAACGAGTCAGTGCTTTGGCAACTGCTTGAGTGGTGGTCGTCGGGAGTAATGCCACATCGATCCACTTAGAGTACGAGTCTACGACCACTAAGAAGGTCTTGCCATGCATTGGCCCGGCGAGGTCGATGTGGAGCCTTGACCATGGGGCATTGGCACTTTCCCACCTGGTGGGAGTGGCGGCTGGCGGGGCTGCCCTGGACTCCTGACAGGGACGACACGAGCTTACCCACTTGGCGATCTGATCATCCATCCCTGGCTATCAGACGTAACTGCGAGCCAACGCCTTCATCCGCACGATGCCCGGGTGGCCCTCGTGCAGCACCTTCAGGATGGGAGTGCGAAGGATGGTTGGGATGACGACTCTGGTACCCCACAACAGGCATCCCTGCAGCTTGGAAAGCTCCTGCTGGTGAGTTTTAAATGGGGTGAAATCAACTGAATAGTTTCCGGCCACCCCCTCCCCACCCAGTCCAGAACCTGGGCGATTGTTTTGTCCGCTTTTGAATGGGCCGCGATGTCATCGGCAGTCACTGGCAGTTTGAGCTCGTTGATCTCGAAAATAGCATGCACGGGGGCTGGGTCCTCGACTGGTGCTGGCAAGGGGCATCGGCTGAGGGCATCTGCATGGCTCAGATTTTTTCCAGGATGATAGACCAGTTTGTACGAGTAAGCCGCCAGGAACAAGGTCCATCTGGTCATCCTGGGGGACAAT